TTGGTCGTATAGTAATTTCCAGCCACTTTCAGTCTGTCAAAAAGTAACTTACTTCGCAAAAAAATAATTACTAAATTCACTAGACAGTTCGGACTGGGAATAGCGAACCGAGTATATCACTGATGTCGTCGAACGAATAGCCAAGCTGAAATGGAATTGGACAAGTCACATAGCGAGACCTAAAGGCTCAAGGTGGACCAGAAACGCTGGACCAGAACCACGCTGCGTTGGATTGACGACATTAAACTAATATCCAAGAAATGGCAACAAGACGCACAGAACCGTGAAGAGTGGCAAAAAATGGGAGAGACCTATGCCAGCAGTGGACAAAAAAGGTTGCACAATGATGATGATGAAATTGAAATTAGAAAATCCGTAAAATAGTTTCGAAACACAATTCAGATTTCTGCTTATAATCTGAGCCTTCTAAAAATTGCAAGGCAAACAGACGTTGATAAAAGATGTTAAAAGGGACATGGGGAATCTAAAATTTGCATTCCACAACATGTCTTTTACAACTAAGCAGAAATCCTTAGCGAATTGTTTCTAGTACTCACACAGAGTAAATCCGAATAAAATGAAAAAAGACAGCAAATATTTGATTTCACGATTATAACAAATCCTATGTATCTGTTGATACGTATTTCGACCTAATAGGTCTCATCAGAACAGCTATTCATAGGAGTTCTCAACGTGAAAAATCAATATATCAATAAGAACATGTAACAGTTAGTGCTGTGTTACAAAAAATAAAAGACAAGGAACTTTGTGATATTAGTTAAACAAATTTGTGGAGAGTGTTGAAACATTTAGGTTTTCGATATAAAAAGACAAATAATAGACAAGTATTGTGTGATCTCTCTAATGTTGTTTCAAAACGGTGGCATTTTTAAAGAAAATACATGAACAATAAAATGTCTGATAGTCCGAGGCAAGTTGTATTTTTAGATGAAACTTGGATTTTCGCTAAAGGAAATATGTCAAAATCATCTGGCAAGATGGCACCATGAAATGTTATTCTTCTAGTCGTTCCGGTAATGGTAAACGCTACATTATACTTCATGCTGGAAATGATGAGGGTTTTATTCCTGACGCTAGTTTAATTTTTTCGTCCACAAAGAATACAGGTGATTACCATGGAAATATGGATGCAAATATTTTTGAAGAATGCTTTGAAGAAAATTTGTTAAAAAAATTGGAGCGACACTTCATAATAGTCTTGGATAATGCATCGCACCACTCAAGAGTAGAGTGGCATATTTTTAAAAGTCGATTTACTTCAAAGGTGTGGAGAGCACAAAATTCAAAAGAACTGGCCTACTGACCAAATGGCTCTTAAATATGGCCATGAAGTTCTTCGACTTCCGCCCTACCATTGCCACTATAATGCAATTGAGTTAGTTTGGGGTATAGCCAAAAATGTTTATGATAAACATGCATCCAAAACAAAGATGGCGCTAGCGTTCTTGGTTTATGGAAAGAATCGCTAGAATAAATAAAAGCAGAACAATGGCAAACTTGTATTAGACATACGGAAGACATAATTGTTCAGTCTTTTCAAACTGAGCGAGTTATAGATGAGGTCCGGCCTCTAATCATTCGGATAGACAATTCAGATAGGGACGACTCTGCTAGTGAAATATCAGACAGTGAATAGGACAAAGCGTTTGCTAAAAAGAAGAAACAAAAAAGTGTTTCGGGAATTCAATTTAAACTTTGTGGTGTGTTTTAGTTAAATGATAAAGTACCGTTGGTCTAAGTACTGGACTGCATACTCTTAATAGCTTTGGTATTAATTACTGGACTACACGTGTTTAAACATTTTGTTTTGCTGAAAACTCGGATTTTGTCAATTTTTTGCGAATTTTTACTCTACGCAAAATAGACACTTATAGAGACCTTGATGAACATTTGATGTCGACAAATAATTTCGATTATTCGAAATATTTCGCCCCACTTCTTTTAACCGCCCTGTATATACATATTATATTTATTTTATTTGCCTTTGATACAGTAAAATCCAATATTATTACTGCACATAAAATACAGGAAATCAAATATTTTTACTTTTCAAGCGATCGAAATTAAATATTAACGCCCCACTGTTTGAGGCCCACTGATCATATTTTAATTACATATCGGCCTTCATACGGTAAAAGGAGTTATAGTTTTCTTGATAAACTTTTTCCATTCCCAAGTTGGAGCGGCATATAACAATTGTACTGGACTATAATAAGAAAATAGTACATTGTTTACCGGGTATTAAAAGCTTAACATTCCTGGACGACTGTGAAGAATGCTAAGTCGAGGCGCAAGCCGAGACTTAGCAACACAGAGTCCAGGAATGTGGCTTTTCCTACGAGGTAAACATACTATTTTTCCGCAAATCGTTTAAAATTTGACAGATATTGATTGATTTAAAAAAACGCGATAATTTTATTCCCAAATAAATGGTGCTTTGAAATTCCTAATAAAATTACTTGGGTTACTATGGAAACGTATTGAGGTTGAATTGTCAAACTTGACGGAATACTAACAACTGTACGGAAATATCATTTCCTTACTGTAAGGAAATGATATTTCCGTACAGTTGTTAGTATTCTACATAAATGATAGAAAACACATTGCTTATAAGGAATTAATTTATATTTTGAAAACATCAAGTCATTGCTGAATATATTTCCGGTATTATAATAATTCTAATGAAGCAGTATTCACTGCCTCAACCAGCTCTGGAGGAGTCCCAGGAATGGAAATTTCATCATCACTTATCATTTTACTTTCGAGAACACCAGCAATTAAATTTATAAGCGTCAAGTTTGACAATTCAACCTCAATACGTTTCCATAGTAACCCAAGTAATTTTATTAGGAATTTCAAAGCACCATTTATTTGGGAATAAAATTATCGCGTTTTTTTTTAAATCAATCAATATCTGTCGAATTTTAAACGATTTACGGAAAATAGCATGTTTACCTCGTAGGAAAAGCCACATTCCTGGACTCTGTGTTGCTAAGTCTCGGCTTGCGCCTCGACTTAGCAATCTTCACAGTCGTCCAGGAATGTTTAAGCTTTTCCTACCCGGTAAACAATGTACTATTTGTTGATTGGAATGTAGAGAAACAAATACTGTAATTGACATTAATTGAAATAAGAAATATAATTAATGAAATTTCTAACAATAATAGAATATCGCCAGAAAGTTAATAAATTAAAACATGTGTTTTGATCATTACTATTTATTTAATAGTTTGGTCAAAGTTTGAAACTCAAAGCCACAAACAACCAGATAATTAAATTATAGGTTAGCTTAGTATAACGACATTTTTAATTTATTATTAGAACAGTTTGACATAATATATAAATGATCACAATTTCATTATTTATTTGTAAGATCACGTGTTCTAATGGATTGTGGTCACTAATATATAGAAATGCGATATATCAAATTATTTGAACCATATAATTATACATATAATGATTCATTATTTTTAGTCCGTAGTTTGAAATTACATATTTCTTCCTGAGGTGTAAGGGACCCCAAGGGAATTCTGCGCACTAAAGGGAAAATACTTCCAAAAAGTTTGATACGTGCACACAAACTTCCATAATTTAACAACTGAAAGTGTTGTATTTATCTTGTATTTATCTAATTAAAAGATATTTCCCGCAAAAACGGTTTAAAGTTTTACGGATTTTGAAGAAAAAAAAATTACTTAAAAAACTGTTATTGTGGTATTTTTCCAGTAACGGGGTAATTCTGCGCAAAAATTAAATAAAGCTGTATTCGAAAAAAAAATTATTGTAATAAAGCAAATATTTTAAACAAAACAAATTTCTTAAAGACAAAATTTTAAAAAGAGGTACTTTTATTTTTTAAATGTCTTCTGTTCGACTTTGGCACACATATTGCACGTATAATTACCTGCTGAATCCCAACCACTACATTCTGAATGAGCCCAATTTCGAACACATTACACAACGGTACCAAATTTCTTTGTCTCGTCCGAATTCACTGCACACCAAACACTCCTCAATTTCTAATAACTTTCAGACTCAGAATCATCAAAATGTAAGTTTCTAACTTCTGTTTTCTTGCTTACAGGTTGTTTCTGTGCTTTAGTAGCCAGTTTTCTTAGAGTTCCTGTCGTTCTTTTCCTGATTTTAGTTTTTTTGACCTCTCCAGTTTTTTTCTTAAGATTACTCTTTTCTTGTTTTATTTCTAATTGAATTTTTAGTGGAAGTGAAAATATCTGAGTGTTGTTTTACACGTGACTTGAAACTTTTTTTACAATTTTGGCAGGAAGAGGTGCTAGCTTTTTAATAGGTACATCAGGCTGAGTTTTAACATTTCCTGAAATTCCAGGCTGGAGTTGAGCTCTTTGATTTGATTCAGTGAGTCTTGTACATAATTTTATCATATCTCGATGGTCCCGTTTGGGGTTTGGTATTTCTAGGTAGAGTTCTCTGCAGTACTGTATTGTTTGTGGTGTCGTTCTGTGCTCAACATTAAAATTTACATTGGACTTCTCAAGACCACTGTCATCGTTGGTATTGCCGGGACCCAAAAATCCCTTGGTTCTCGTGGCAACTCTCAGATATGCTCAGTTAAAAAATACCCAAAAAAGTTAGGTCAAGTGTTTGAAGCCTTTGTGAGGTATGAGGAAGAAGTGAAGCTATAACAATTTCGTGTGATCTGCATTAAGTATAAGTCTCCAAAGAAATGTAACTCTCATGGTTATCCAATATGAGTCACTGGATCTTCTTTCGAGGCTTTTATATGCTGACAAAAATGTTCTATCCATCGAAAAATAACTCTTCATTTATTCAACCGTTTTTTGAACATCTTTATATTGCTCAAATTTGGCATTCTCTCAATAATTTTGGATACATACGTATTCGAAGAAATATGAACATAGGAGAGACAAACCATCCTCAAGCATTTACAGCTCATATGATGGTAACATTTTTTCCCAAGATATTATGGACATTTAGGATACGTTTTTCTACACTATCTTGAACATTATCATGTTTTTTATTCATATCTCTATAAAAATTTTATTTTATATAATAATTTTATCTATATATTTTATTTCAGATTTAATTAAAAGTGGCATAAGCGTATTTGGACAAACAATAGAGAATATAATTAGCACATTCTCTAAAATAGAAGATCGATTAAATGCTCTAATAGAACTGATTAGAGATCAGCTAATAAAGGGTGTTCCTGAGCTCAGTATACCAGTGTTAGATCCGCTACATGTTAACAAAATTGAATTTGACGTAAGACATGAAGCAGCCATGTAAGTATATAATAATTTATTTCTTAAATATCCGCATATGCAACCATTATCCTAAATATGTCAGTAAATGTAAATGTATATTCTAGTAACAACAACAAAAGTTCAAAAGTAAACATTAGTATCCCAGAACAATACAAAATTGTGGAAGCCACTGTATTTATATATTAATGTTTTTTTGAAATCGATGCATTCCATATTTTTCCAACTAGTTCCAATTTTCCAATTTTTACCGATGATTCCAAAACATATATACTTTTCTATATAGAGAACCTTCCATTTTGTAGACGAAAATATTTAGACTACAGGATGAGTTTCCTATATATTCTGCAGACTGATTGCGATTTTGAAAGCAATGATTAGCTTGTACGGTTATTGTGGATTAGTACCACATGTTTTTGAGGCCACTTTGTATCTTGGTAGACTCAAAAAAGTTTTTACTGAAGTTTTTTTAGCCTGAGGGTTATGCAACATATGGTTGACTATTTCTAGATCTATATAATCTGAGCTTTAATAAGTTTCATAAAACAGATATGGAGTGGCGATTATCTAGTTAAAAAGCCTGTTATGAATTTTAACTGATTTCCCTTTGTTTACCACAATATTCAGCTCTATCAGCACCTGTCGGTCAGGTTTTAATGCGAAGCTTTTATAGTGGTATTGTATTACTTTTTTCTCTGTAGTAAAATGCTGAGGAGAGCGTCACGCAACTAGCGCCACGACAAGACGACCTGGGTAGCGTCACGAAATAGCGGTCTTCACGGCGCTTCACTACTCACGATCAGTTCTAGAATTTTTTAGAATCACTTTACCGAGTACACTGGCATTACAGCCACTAGACATATTTTATTATATTCACGTAGAAATAATATTTAAAAATTTCTATTAATGTTAACTTAAAGAAATACACAATGTTTCATTTAATTTGTATAAATGCATTATAAAGCGTTTTTATCAAGAACATTGCTCGGAACACACTGTAACTGTAATCGAACGAAGGTAAAATTTTGGCATAAATTGGTAACACTTATTTGACAGTTGCGCCGTTGACACTTTTTGTACTTCATTATTTTGAATTTTAGTGAATATATCTTGTTTTATATTATTAACTATTTAATAAAATCTGTTCTTTTTAGAACAAAATTAGTGTGTTTTATTTCAAAAATGTCACGTTAGAATTTAAATAGTCGTTGTAAAGAGATGGTAATACTTTTGCAATAATTATGTAATTTATTTGATTTAAAATGGAGTCAGGATTTTTTAAACTTTGGCAACTATGTCAAATTAAATGAAGTATATGTATTCTAATAAGGTATGAATTAAAAACTGAATAAAGAGTCATTTACAAAATACAGACATTAATTAAGAAATTAAAAGAATATCTGTCAAAAAAAATTCGATTTGAAACGATTGCTAAAATTTAAAAGACATAAATGTCATGTAGTTAATAATAATATTAAATCATCTGCTTAAGCTTTTTATGACACTTCTCATTTTAAAATAATTTCATATAAATGCAATTATTATTTTTAAACACCTTATTTAGTTGATATAATAATTAAATTTACTAGATATCGAATGATGTTTAATTAAATTTTCTTTAATTAATTAAATATTTCGTCTGCATTTGACAGTTCTATAAGAAGTAAACAATGTATGCTTTGTTAATATATTAACGGGGAGCATTAGGAGCAAACATATTAATTTATTGAATTATAATAGAATTGGTTTAAAAAATATAAATTCCATTCAAATGTCATGTCTGTTCTACTTTACGGATGTGAAACCTGGAAAGTAATAAAAACCCTTACGTATAAACGACAGGTCTTTATTAATAAATATTTTCGACAAATTGTTCGCATTTTCTGGCCTTTTATAATCAGACACGAAGATCTACTACACCTGATTGAACAAAAAAAGGTAGAAAATTATTTTTATTTAAAATCCTTTATAAAAGGTATATCTATATGTATATAAACACCCAAACAAGCTACGTCACAATTGCAGAACGTTTTCGGAATGTAAATTCCATCATCAGTGTAACGAAGTATACATGCTATGAGCCACTAAAATATATGGGTAAAAACATCATAGTACATGGCTCATAGCATGTATACTTCGTTACACTGATGATGGAATTTACATTCCGAAAACGTTCTGTAATTGTGATGTAGCCCGTTTGGGTATTTTATTATATACCTTTTATAAAGGATTTTAAGTAAAAAAATTGTGTGATACATGGTATACAGCTAGCTACACAAACTTAGTTTCCTAGTGGAAAAAAGGATCATTCATCAAATAAAGTCCAGAAAGTGGGATTGGATTGGTCACACACTAAGAAAAAAATAATTCCAGTATTGCAAAAATTGCACTAGATTGGAATCCCCAAGAAAGAAGAAAAAGAGGTCGCCTAGTACAAACTTGGAGAAGACCCATCATGGATGAGATAAGAGGTCAAGGAAAGTCTTGGAATGAGGTGTGGCGCAAAATAGAACTCGATGGCGCATTTTTACTCAAGCTCTATGCTCCACTTAGGAGTTCAAGAACCTTATATATTTAAAATATAAATAATGAATAAATAATAAAATTAATTTAATCAATTTTAAAAATAGTAAAAAATACAGAAAACATGGTATGAAGCTTCACGCTAGTCTACTGTACCATCTTTTTTTATCGAACACTGATGTTGATTTTTGGTACCCCTACGGTGGCACTGCATATCTTAGAACTGCTAAGAGCCACCATAGCCGCTTGACTAACTGTGCATATATTTAAGTGGAATAAAAATAATTACATTTTCATCAATACAATATATTTCTATTTCCGACACTGTTGCAGTTTTACCCCATCTGCATACCAGATATAAACCTGCAGCCTGAGTTGTGTGTTTTTTCTTTCCAGTCCCTCTCGTGGACTGTAACTTTAGGACTGTATTTGGGTAACACTTAATGAAAGTTCATTCTCATTAAGTGTTACTCAGATACCGCAATTTTAAAAGAAATAATCTTAAATAAGTTGTGTAAAATATCAGAATGACAATTATATGCAGAAGTTATATGCGCTTAAGTTTATATGCTCTGTAAAGTAATTAACGTTAGACCGGATATTTGGTGAATTTTTTGTATTATGTTGGTACCATTTATTTATATCATACAGCAAATATCGTGTAGGGATAGCGGTTTACCTATTATCTTTGCCACCAAGAGTAAGTTATATAACCGTTTGGCTCCAGTTCACTGCATCAAGAATCCGGTGAAGCTAAATCAAGTTTAAATTCCTTTCTAAATACCTGAGTTTATCCGTATTTTTATAGACTGCGATTAGAAGTTATTCATTATATAAAACGCTGTTTTCTATTTCACTAGTTCTACCGTAATCCTTTTATAAATGTAGTTCAAGGTCATCGTCTACAATTTTACTTAGCATTTATATGGTGTAATGTTTACTTATTTACTAGAAAAACATAACGATTTCCTCGTTATATTACATATTAGACTAGCTATTACACGACTCCATACACAGATTAATTACTTGTTTCGAAATTTTATGTGTTAGAATGTGTCACTCGTAAATAAAACAATGGTAATGGTAAAGTGTTTCTAAACTGTCTTCTTCATAACCTCGAACTATGTGATCTGGAGTTATGTTATCCCTGGCCTCTATATAATAAATTGTATTATATTATGAACCAACGAAAGGTCGGCCTCTTCATTTCTTAAATTGTATTTCAGTTTATGTTCCAAATTTTTCTCAAGATCCGCTATGTCTTTAACATGGATCATTATTATGGACTTCTTATTCTTTATAACTCTCCTTATTTTTTATTATTATGTTCATATCATTTCTGAGTCTTCTTGACATAATAACGTAAAGCCAGATTAGGTTAAAATTATATCTTTTAATAGAAGTTATTAAAACTAAATAATTTTTATCTATAATTTTCCAAGCTAAAAGCTCTATCTATAATAAATTGGTCCTCCAAATCGACCAACATAGGATGCTGAATCCCAGTCGACAGAAAACTAGAAATTTTTGATGTAATGTTTCTTTAGAATTTAGGGCTAATGGATCAACAGTGAAGAAAAAAAAAACAAAAGGAAAATGATTTAATGAAGAATGTAATGAGGCCTTACAGGAAAGGTATCAAGTGTACACTAAATAAATGGAAAAGACAACCAAATAAAGAAGAGCAATATACGAAAATATAAGTTGAAGGATTGGTAAAGCATGCCAAACAGAGAAAACAAAGACAAAAAACGGTAATATACAAAAATGAACAGCAATATAAGAGAAGCATATAAATATGTACGCAATTTAAGAAAACAATACAAACTTTAAACAAATCTATCAAAAATCAAGAAGGGCAAATACCCAACAATCCAAAACAAATAAAATCCTATTTCCCAACTCTTTTAGGGACGCAATGAAATGAAATGAACATGCAGAACATTGAGGAATATGGCGGAAAGGTATTAACCCAGGTATTAACAACTTCCCCCCTGAATATATAAATTATGTGACGAACATCTAGCGAGGCAAGTACATGCATTAACAAATGATTCCAAGAATAAACTAAAAATATTGTCGGGAAATATCAAACCGGTTTTTGACAAGGAAGATCTACAATTGCCCAGCTGTTTACAGTGAAACAAATTCTAAACAAATCGTGCGAATATGACATTGACGTCCACAACATATCTATAGATTTTAAACAGGCCTACAACTCAATTAATAGATACAAAATATATCAAATATTAAACAGTTTTAACATTCCCCAAAACAGTAGTAAACATCAACTGTCAGAAAACTGTACTCACTGACAACTTTCCAATAATCAAAAAATTTAAGCAAGGTAACGGGCTGGCGCCGACACTATTTAACCTGATATGATAAGACAGCTAAATATAGGGTAAGTTAATCGCCTAACAAATAAATAAATACAGATTACCGCCTATACCGATGACATCGACGTTAGGTCTCGAAGACGATATTGAAATATCCTATCGTTGTGTTTCTTTTCAATTTTTTTATATACCTTTAAATTTTCCCCCAATCAAGTTAAGATATTAGGTAAGACATGAGCTGCTCTAGTACAAATCTACCTCTTAAATTATTACCATAGGTCGATCCCATTACATTTTAAACTATTACATCAGCAGTAGCACAATCGTAGTTTTTTGTTTATGTGTGATTGTTCATTTTCTTTTTTAAAAAAATCTTCATGTTTTCTCATTCTGTATGAATGTCATTGTTATTCCTAAATATCTGTACCATATTGATATTTGGTTTTATCGTAATCTTTGGTACTAGAGTCCTAAACTCTTCCTTCCGTAATCTTCTTTTCCATTAAATCCCATCAATTTACAACATCAATTTGCATCACGCTATCCTTTTACCATCACGACTTACATCGACATCGAACACTCATGATCATTTCCATATTAGCGGTTACGTGAATAAGATCTTTTCTGCGGCACCAAAAATTCGTGTATCACCCACTATGAGCAATTACACCCGCTCAAAATTACTCTGTGGTGAGCTGTGTCATTTGGCCATTTTTCTTTGAGAAAATTTATTTTTGCTTCCTAAATTGGATTAATTGGGACTGTAAAATATGTGGTTCCAAGAGGACGGTGCAACTGCGCACACTACTCGAGCCACAACCGATATTCTAAAGGAAACATTTCCGGGTCGGTTCTAGACTTCTTTTTATGGGGTTTTTTGAAGTCGCCGGTTTATGTCAACCAGCCTCAGACTCTTGAAGCGTCTTGTATTTGGTAGCATTTATGAAAATGATATCTCAACGAAATTGAAATATATAAAAAATACTATCAGATCTCTTGTGAAATATTGCACGAAAACCTTTCCAGGTGTATATTTTTGAATCATTGTCTTTATTTCGTTGCATAGGTCGTCATCGAGAGTTCCGTCTAGCTTTCTAAACTTTACAATTTCTAACATTGGCTTTAATAGGGTAGAGGTAGTAGTACTACCATCAACCTTCAACCTGAAGTTTCGGGGTTGTCATTCTTGCTTAAAGAGATCCAGATTTTGGATTATTGGAAACTCGATTTATCCTATCTCATCACTTGTAGAATCTGTAAGTGTCAATAATGAATCTCGACTAATGTCATTATCACTAAATTGTCTAACATTTAGTGATACACATTTGAACACCCGTTTCAATTGCTTTCTTATCTCGACTTAGGATGCCAATATCGAAGTTATTAATTTTTTATAGGTATATATTTATGTTATATCATCCTTATACATACTAGACCATAGTAACATTTTGATAACACCGTTACATACCATTACTTAAATTTATCGTATAGTTAACATTGTATCTTTATGACCTTGAAATAAGTTACTTTACTGTTCGTCACTATATCTACTACTTACGGCTATAATGAACTTGATCTTATTGTCGTTTGTCATTTAATACTAAGAAATATACACAAGTAAAAATTAGTAGTGGTAAAATAGCAAGAGATCTATTAAATTAAAAATGTTTTTCTTAGTGCTGAAGAAGATAAATATAAACAAAACACTATCATTCAGTAGCTATAACCCAGTTGTAGTAGTCTGACTATTTGGAAATTTCGGTCACTGTATCGATACTTAAATTATTGAATAAACCGGTCCGCAAAGTTTAAGATTAACAACACCTATTATTTAACAACAATTCTGAATTATATAATTCGGTTGCCTCAATAGTTCACATAACAGTGCATGACACACTGAAGAGCCGGTCAAGGACGATGTTTCATAAGACGGTATACACGGATTTTCTGGTTCAATATAAAATACGGGTGTAAGTTAACAAATAAATTATTAATGGAATTTGGAAAAATATTGTTAATATAAATATAGAAGGTAGACCTATGGAGATAAACAAAGCTACATGTTTTCCATGTTTATTTTCTCCTATATCCTTTTCGATTTTTGGTTAATTATTTTTTTGTAGTTTTCCATTCCCATTGTACAGCAATATCGGTCCTAGATGAGATGCTAGCCTCAGCTAACCTCCACGCTTTTGATAAAGAAAACCAAAAATGTTGAAAGAGTCCGTTTTATGTATTCCCTAAGCTTCGAATTTAAGTGGCTACTAGATTGTACACTTCCAAACATACTTCAATCCAAGCCCTAGAAGCCCAAGGGAATATATCGAAAGGGAAGTTGTATGTGTCCTTCATGTTAAATCTTATAATATCGACCTAGTGTTATTAATATAGATAACAGGTCAACTCTACGTCAACCAATCCTCTGTAGAAAGAGTGGCGCACTACAAGTACCTCGGCGCCATAATAAATGAAGAATGGACCAACATCCAGGAGATTAGAGCACGCATCAATCGGATGGGGGCCTTCTTCAAGAGTCACAACCTCTCTCTTGATACAAAAGTAAGAATGCTGCGATGCTACGTCTTCTTTATCCTTTTTTATGGTGTGGAATCGTGCACCTTGAACGAATATATGTGCAGAAAACTGGAAGCATTTGAGATGTGGCTATATCGGAGAATGCTTAAGATCCCGTGGACTGACCGAGTCACAAATGAGGAGGTCCTCAGAAGAATGAATAAGAACCGAGAGGTACTGACCACCATCAAATCTCAAAAGTTACAGTTCTTCGCACATATTATGCGAAATGATTACAAGTATGCTCTCCTTCAAGCCATCCTGCAAGAAAAATATTTTGGAAAACGAGGTCCAGGAAGAAGAAGAAGATCTTGGTTAAAGAACCTTAGAATCTAGAGTTTGTTCGTCTTCCGGGTTTGGACCGTGTCATTTGTGAGTGACCCAAAAGTGGGTTCATCTCGACGTTTCGCTACAATTGTATGTAGGTTCTTCAGGAGAACAAAGAAAAAGAAATCAATAGACAGGAAGATGGGTAGTTAGCAACGGTAACTCAGTTACTCAACGCAACCAGAGGCGAATACTAACTACCAAGATGGGCATTTGGTCACAGTAACTCAACTACTTAACGCAGCCAGAGGTGAAAACCAATGCCAGGATAGGGATTCACGTCCAACAGCTCAGAACACTAACGCGTCGAGAGGCGGGGAGTGAATCCCAACTTTTCCAAGCCAACAACAACCCAGCTTTTCCGCGCTGCACAGATGCAGATAAGATAAAGATTGTCATGAGGATCGCCAACATTCGTAAGAGATAGGCACATCAAGAAGAAGAAGTTATTAATATATTAAAATTCACCATGGTTTTCATGTAAGATAAGGGATTCATCATCTGTTTACGTAGCTAGTTTCAACTACTTTTAATGTTTTTTCACTGATGATGGTCCGACCACGATAAAATTTTGAAATTATTTTTCAATAAATAACATTATATTTACACAATAAGTTCTTATTTCTATGTAATTTTTTTTTTATTTATACTCCTATCGTCTGAGACGAAAATGCCACTGAACCTTCAAAAATCATACGAACAAGCTGAATTTTACTTATGTCGTATGTTCGTAGAAAGAAAAATTTTTCAAATTAATGATGTAGCTGAGATAACTTTGATCAAATGAAAGGCAGATATCGAGCACAGTTTATTAATTAAATCTTGCCCAAGTACTTTCGCTTCCTAGAGCATGTTCGGGAACATTTCGTCAATTTTGGCCAATCCAACAATCATAGAATGTCATAAACATAAAATTGTACATTACACTACACTACACAAAGACAAACAGTTTAAAAATGTTTAAAATAGGCAAAGCTACATTATGATCGGCATCAAGAGAGAGATTCATTCTATAGCGATATATTGTTTATAAGTTAAAAATTACGTTTAAGCAATTGCATATTTTTATTTATTACATATTGGTATCACCAAATTATTTTAAATTCACCAATTTATTATAAATAATGATACAGCTCTATTTTTAGCACACAATTATAATATAAGTATTGATTTTTTTGTTTTTTTTTTTTAGATTAAAGGGAAAGGCTGAAGACATTACAATTAGACAAATATCCAAATTCATAGTCGACAAAGAAAAATTGTCTGATTTAGGAAAATTAAGATTTAGATTGGATTTGAACTTAACCTTCCCATCTATTAAAGTTAACGGAACTTACCAAGTGAACGGTCTTATAGGACAAACTTTTAGGATTTTCGGAAATGGACCTTTCAAGTAAGAGTTGTTACATGTAATAAACATATTACAAGTAGGTATTTATGATAATTTTCATTAAAAAATATTTTTTGTTTAAAATGTTTCTTTTTCTTAAAAAGTTGAAAATTGATGTTAACTATAAATCTGTTTTTTTTTTGTAGAATAAATAAATAGCTCATTTAATTACATTCAAGCACGAATGTTCAATTTGCTTTATTTTTAATACTTCAATGTTTTGAACTTCTGCTTCTTCTTCTTCCTTAGCATTTCAGGGGTCGCTGTTTCTTACTCTTCCTCCCCATTCATTTCTGTCCATCGGGTCTTCTTCACCTAAACATTTCTCTCTTAAGCCTTCTGCCACCTCTATCCTTCGTCCCACATAGTTTTCATCTCGTCTGACATGACGAAACCATTGCAGTCTTTGTTCTTTAATATTTTTGAGATGTAGTCACCCCGACTCATTCTCTAATCAAGTCATTTCTGATCCTGTCCCTTCTAGGCTTACCCAACATCCACTGTAACATTTTCATTTTAGCTACCTCTATCTTCTTTTCCTGGATCTTCACCGCCATACACCAACGCAGGTCTCACCACACTCTTGTATGTATTTCCCTTTAATCCCTCCCCGATTTTTCGATCACAAAGTACCTCATTCGCTCTTTCACTTCCAGTTAAACCAACCAACCTGTATTCTGTAGGCAATTTCTCGATCTAATCTCCCATTTTCTGTTATATAGGAGCTAAGGTATTTAAATTCTCCTACTCGTCCTAGCTTTTCTTCAAGTAATTCTACGTCTTCCTCTTCCTCCCAACCACATATACTCCCTTTTTGACCTGCTAACCTTAAGTTCTCCCTCTTTAATAGCCTTTCCCCAATACTCCTTCTCCAACATTTCATTCTTCTCCTCTTCTAACATGAAATATTATCAGAAAAGAGCATTGACCAAGGAGCCTCCTCCCTTGCTTTCGTTATCAGTACATCCTTATACAGTTTAAACAGGTAAGGACCCAGTGAAGATTCTTAATGCAAACCAAGACTCACTTTAAAACTTTCGGTCAATCCGACAACAGTCCTTACTTTGATGTACGTTCCCTCATACATATCGTTCAGGAGTCTTACGTACTTCTCAGGAACTCATTTCTTTCGCATATATCTCCATAGCTCTTGTCTAGCAACTGTGTCGTACGCCTTCTCAAAATCTATAAATATCAAATGTAGCTCTCATTTCTTCTCGCTGTATTTCTCTATCAAGTGTGTCAACGCAAACAAGGCATCCGTTGTCCTCCTTCCTGGCCTAAACCCAAACTGTTCTACTCCTATCGATGTCTATCTCCTTAACCTTTGCTGTACAGTTCTCTCCCAAATTTTTATTGTGTGCGACAATAACTTTATTCCTCTATAGTTTTTACAGCCCTGAATATATCTTTTATCTTTTTACAATGATACCATCACACACTCTCTTCATGCATTGGGCATCGTTCCTTCCTCTTATATCCTACTCATCATTTGCCACAAAATATGCCTAGAGCCCTCCAAAACCTCCACAAGTATTCCATCAGGTCCTACTGCTTTACGGTTCTCCTCAATGCGCCTCGACAACTTCATCTCTCGCTATCCCTGGCATTCCATTCTCATTTCGAATCACGCATCCTCTGTCTCTCTCTGGTGTTCTTCATTTAGTAACTTATTAAAGTATTCATACCATCTTTAGCTTTATTTCAACATCGGTTCTAAACACTCTTGTCTCCCTTACTTTGGTAATCTGTATAACCTTTTCGTCCTCTCGGTGTTTCCATCCCTTCGTACAGCTGTGCAGACGATCTTTCCTTAGTAGTAGCTATAGCGCGTTTTACTTCCCTTTTCGTCACCTCATTTATATTCTTATCTTCCTCTTCTTGAAACCTGCCATACCTGTTTCTAGCCTCTTTCTTCCCTCTAACCTCCTGTTGCAACTCATCGTTCTACCATTAAGTTTCTTTGTCTCTAGGATGCCCATTACCAGATGTTTTTCCTAGCATTAAATATTTTTTTTTTAATTAAAGACCGAATTAAAATATTTGGTACCGAATGGTAATATATAGCAAATATACTAAGTGACATAGAAAAACGAACACTCAATAATACGGAATGGTCAATTGAGCTGTAAATCCCTAAAATCGCTACACACGTGTTTATAAAAATGGACGATTTTCAAGTCAGGGAGGTCAGTCCTTCACGGGCTCTCCTAGAGTCACCTACACTCTGGGAGCTCACCTTCTGGGGCTCTGCTCCTTTCTTCAACCTCAAAACTCTGTAGCTTGTTCTACTTTAACAACATATTGGTGTTTTAATATTGTTCTGAAGCTATTTTCTTGTGGCATTGTAAATTAATTACTATTAAACTGGGAATAAGCCACAATTAAAGATAAAAATACGTTTATTGACGTTTCAATTTCCACTTCGGAAATCGTTCTCAAAATACAAACAGTAAATTTACTGTTTGTATTGTATCAAAATACAAACAAATCAAAATACAAACAGTAAATTTACTGTTTGTATTTTGAGAACGATTTCCGAAGTGGAAATTGAAACGTCAATAAACGTATTTTTATCTTTAATTGTGGCTTATTCCCAGTTTAATAGTAATTAATATTGGTGTTTTATTGTATGTAAGGAAATAGCTAGTGTTGAATACTAACTACACCAAACTCATCGATGGCCCATAGGCAAAATGGACTTAGCAGAGGATACTTTACCTGAACCGACCGAAGCCCTCTGTTGCGTGTACGAGGCAGTAAAGGCGGTTCGACATTTCTTCGACGAGTCGGCATACCTTAGGGTAATATAAGTAGTTGAGCAAAAGTTCAAAAAAATTGTTAAAAAATGTAAAAAATTAATATGTTAAACCGCAGAATGTCTTCTGCACTCAGAAACACATCTGAATTTACTTCTGATAAGACGATCGATTTTCTGTTGACGTTTTTCGTCCCAGGGTACTTGTACTGAAGTTCCGCTTAAAGGTCGATTCAGACACATCAGTCCCGTCATAGTCTCGGCGCCGAACCGGTCCTATTTGGTCACAGAACTATCAACTATCTGACAGCTCGGAAACTGTTTGTCAACTGATGAGTGTGAATGCCGGCAACATATTTGTATTAAAGAATATTTTGTATGACGGATTGTTCGGTTCGGCGCAATCACTGTGACGAGACGTGACTGATGTGTCTGAATCGACCTTAAGTATTCCCATAATGTCCGAGACGTATTCAATGAGTGAAATATCCGGAGATCTAGAGAGCCACGGTAACAAATTTACTTAATTATTGTCTTCAAAATGGGCCAACGTATTTCCGGCTTTTTTCTCCGTATTTCAACGTATTTCGTCTTTTTTTCTATTCAGACTATTTCGTGTATTTAAAAACTATAATTGACGCTTTAATGGATAAAAGTTTCCAATATCTGCTATATGCTAAACAAATTTTCAAAAACAACGTTCTTCAGCATCAATTTTCATTCATTATAAATATTTAATCAATTTTAGTTTGCTTAAAAAACTATTACTTAATTAGAATCATTAAAGTTGTCCTTCCTTGGTAAAAAGCATAGCCCTAATAACAGAAATTAGATCAGCTTATCCAACTGTTAAAAATGACACTGGAAAAGATATTTTTCAAAAATTTGAAACAATAATTCAGAAAAGCAATGGTTTTTAAAAACTTACTGAGGTAGCTGACGTTCTTGTTTATAATTTTTGCTAAGAAATAGATTTATAACCAAACATTTTTGTGAATTTAAAATATGCTCTCATTACATCCGTTGATGTGGAAAGAAGTTTCTCAATTTACAAAAATTTTGAAAACATTAGGTCATTTATTGTTTCCATAATTTTAAGGAATAGTACTTTACTTTTTTAATACTTTTTAAATTGATTTATATTAGGTATGTTCTAATTATTAGAATAAACATTAATTAATATAGTTACCTTTATTAAATATATGTTTTCACTGATAGTATGCATATTTAAAAAATACATATTTTCTAGAAGAAATGCATATTTAATGCATATTTTTGGGTAAATTAGTGAATATTTATACGAAAATCTTTCACTTTTTTGCATATTTGCCTGAATTTATTCATCACGTAAAACAAAGGTATTCTATGCGAGGGATCAGTTCAATCGTTCTCTACACCAAGGCAGTCGATCACTCCGGTGCCTAATAGTGAGAGCTATGAAGAACTGAGTACGGTATTAAGTAAGACCTATGAAGACCTATTGCATTTCGCATTATAATATGCCTTCCTTGCTCTCCAAACCATTAATCAGCAATTGATTTACAGAGACAAAAGGTTAAGACGGCAATCTTGGTTTGGAGCCGTTCTTCTGACACGTCCTGCACCATTAGCTCTTTGTGTACTACCTTTCCGATTCGATGCCCTACAACAAACCACCTTTATATTGATACTTTTGCGTAACGCAGTGGCTATTTCTCTAAGGAAAAAATCGGGCTCACGCTAGTCCACTATACGTCCCCTATCAAACTGGCTAAACTGTTTAAAATTTGTTCGTCATTTTACTCTAGGCATAATGAATGAATCTAACTTAAATAAACATATTCCTAGAAATTAGTTGTATTAAATTTAGTATTACTAGGTGATCTTTTTTTATGTCGCTTGGTATACAATACACTACTAAATAGAGGTGGAGGCCAAAACATTACAATTAAACACGTACGTACCGGATGGGTTTTGAAATATGAATATTTTATTAAACTTTCACATTCATTGACTAGTAAAAATCACAAAGGGAAATTCAGAAAATTTAGAACGGAAAGACAAATAAAAAATATAAAAGTGCATGCTTTAATTTCAGGCTACATCTGAAATTATATAACTTCCACAGCAGATTCTAGAGTGTTTTACTATTATTTTGTAAAAAATATTATTTTTTGTAACATGTATTATTTTGTAAATTAAAATATAAGACGACTTATTTTTTAAGAAGCTTTACACTCTCTGAGTAAATGGTTTTAAATTCAATTTTGACACGAATCTTTTTGTACTTTGCAAGAAGAACTAATAATTATTTTTATATATTTATGTAAATAAATGCTGCTTATTTTTCACTTAAAACCATGTAGGACCACTTAGCCCTCAAAAACGCTCAGATCAGATCCCTTGGCACAGAATACAGCATCCGACAAACCGGTGATTGACTAGATCACTATACAAAAGAATGCCACATAGCATTTTGAGCATTAAATCACCTTCTTTGAACCAAAACTCATCGAATTAAGCCAAAATTTGACAGTTTTTGAAACACTATCCGATAAGCATGTTCCAGGGTTCAGACCTCAGGCGGCGTCCTGGACTGAGATGTCTTTTGAAGATTCCAGACCCCCCCTCTATAAAGACGAAAAAAAAAAGGGTTCAGACCTCAAACTGTTCTCGTTTCCTCTCTCGACCTCGACTCTCACTTCCCATCAACTCGTATCTTCACGTACACTAGTTTCTAACTGCCAGACAATCGGATATCTTTTTAACTACGCTTTTCATTCGATAATGCGCATTAAATTGCTGCGCCTTCAAATTTTTGTGGGAACTTTAATTAAAACGCAAATGGACACCACGCAGTTAATAATTTTTTAGATAACTCGCATAATATATACCTCGGTAAACAAAGTTCAGACTACTGTTACGTACCAGTCAGGGGCGTATTAAATAATTTTTAAATTTATATATTTAAATATTCGATACTTAAGGGAAAAATATCATGCTACAACTTAAAGATTATTATTGTTCTGAAGCTATTTTCTTATGGCATTTTAAAGTAATTACTATTTAAATAGGAATAAGCCACAATTAGAGGTTAAAGAATGTTTATTGACGTTTCAGTTTCCACTTCGGAAATCGTTCTCAAAATACAAACATTAGTAAATAACAAATTTTGTTTTTTTGTTACTTAGTGAAAAATTCTTCTCGCAATTTAATTTTATTTGACTCATTTATATTGACAATTCAGACAAACATTATACATTTTAAAGTAAACGACGTTAAAATGATATTGCCAATATTGTTAAGTTGCGCTCCTGGGACGACTTTACTTTATAAGATAGTTCATTCGATTACGTGAAATCAACTTTCAATAGACACCAAATTCTGATTTTATATGTTTGTTATTTAAAAACATAAATGATATATCCTCCATATGTTATTGACTTACTAATACTGGTATTTTCTTTTTAATAACTTCCTCTTTCAGTATGAGTAACCAGATCCTACTACATTCTGCCGAGGAATTTGCGACACAATTGGTCTCATTTAGCATAATTAGAGCCGATCAGTCTTATTTAGGTGAAACATCAAGGCCATTAAATGTTAGAATAAGTGAACATCAGTTTTATATTAAAAATCGAGAATTTGATAGATCTCAAATATGTAAACATGCATGGGATAATGAACATAGGGTTCAATGGAATGATTCAAATATAGTCCTAAAAGAAACGGATGGTAAAAAGAGAAAAATCAAAGAAGCGGCTCTAGTTATGCTAAATGAGACCAATTGTGTTGCAAATTCCTCAGCAGAATGTACTAAGATCTGGTTACCCATATTGAAAGAGGAAGTTATTAAAAAGAAAATACCAGTATTAGTAAGTCAGTAACATATGGAGGATACATCATTTATGTTTTTTAAATAACAAACATATAAAATCAGAATTTGGTGTTTATTGAAGGTAAACTAAGTGCACGACCAAATACTTACCATGTCGGGATAGTATTATGAGGTTTTTTTTGTGCTTTTTCCCTCATAATTTACTATGGAACCACTAACAGGAGAATTTTACTGTCATTATGACATATGTTTGTCTTTTTAATGACAAATTACATGCTATGATTTTTTTTTGACGGATATTCTCAAGTCAAAGTTGATTTCATGTAATCGAATGAACTATCTTATAAGTAAAGTTGTCCCAGGAGCGCAACTCAACAATACTGGCAATATCATTTTAAAGTCGTCTACTTTAAAATATATAATGTATGTATGAATTGTCTATATAAATGAGTCAGATAAAATTAAATTGTTAGAAGAATTTTTCACTAAGTAATAAAAAAACAAAATTTGTTTAATTTACTAATGTTTGTATTTTGAGAACGATTTCCGAAGTGGAAATTGAAACGTCAATCAACGTACTTTAACCTCTAATTGTGGCTTATTCCCATTTAAATAGTAATTACTATAAAGATTATATTCCAAAATCATAATATAAAAATAGTGATCAAAGCGAATGACGATGATGATGATACAGTGACCAGTACTGATCAATAAATAATAAAACCTATCACACCAAAAGAAGTAACTAAAGTAATAAAAAAACAATATTAATCCCAATTGACTTAATTTGACTGAGATAATCTGGAATGTAACTCTCATAAATGCAGCATTCAGGCTACAATACGTACTAATAACATGTAATACACCTGAACTAATTATGATCCCAGGACAAACTAAGAAAATCGTTAAAGTAGAATTATATAGAATTATATAAACTGCAAAGATATTAAGAATATTATCATACTTTGTTTATAAAAGAAATTGTTTCACCCCATCAGTTTGAATTCCGTAATAAACATAAAAATTAGATCAAGTACACCGTAATTTCGTAGACATACGAGAAGCATTTGATATAGTGTGGAACGTAGAGTCATATGAAACCACTCTGGTCTAACCATTTATTGCAAAAAAGTACTTATAAGGAATATGGAACCTTTTTATTTGTGTGCATGATGGCACTTAACGTGTTAAACATATTTAGATTATAGAACATTCCAGATTCAACACAAATTGTGCCATTTCCGAGTACATAAATGTAAATATTCATATTTCAATAATACTCATATACACACTCAATTTTTATAATGTGATGAGCTATTTTTTTTATTTTAGGCTAAATATAATATATCTAAAAGTAGCAACTACAACAATTCTAAAGTTCACCTTGCCCGGTCAATTACAAGTAGAAAATATTAAAATAAATCCCAGAATAAGGAAACTAGAGGTAAGTAATTCAAATTTTGGGTTTTTGAATTGTCCCATATTATTAAAATATGTTCAAACTCGTTGCTCTTTGTTTTTTTTTTCTGCGCGAGGACAGATGATATTTTTAAACTGCAAAAATATGTCTGAATTTTTTAGGGAATATGATCAAATATTTTAGCACTCGAAAAATTCAAAATATTATCAGCGGCAATAAGAAAAAGGGAAAACTCATCGAAAGTTCAAAATTGTTGTTGAATTAAATGATTTCTAATACAGAAAAAGCATCATTCTGACTTTACAACCCTGCGTGGGACCTAGCCTCCTCAAGAATTTCTCTCCAGTCTTCCTTATCCATCACTTTCCTCCGCCAAATACGTATTCCTATATTTCTCATGTCTTCATCGATGGTATCAAGGTACCTTGTTCTGGGTCTGACCAATGGGTCTCTGACCAATGGGTCTATCAAGGAGGGTTTTTCTAGCTGGGTCATTTTTTTCCATTCGCATTACATGCCATATCGACCTCAGACGTCCTATCTTAATATGTTTTACGATATCTGGTTCCTGGTGTATTCTATAAAGTTCGAAGTTATATCGTCTTCTTCACACTCCATCGTCATTCTCCTTAGTACTTTTCTTTCGAAACATTCTAACATGTTTTCATTACTTTTTGAGTCCAGGTCCATGTCTCTGAACCATATGTTAGGACTGGGCGTATTATTGTTGTTTGTTGTTGTTTTGTAGAGTTTTATTTTTGTATTTCTCGATATAATTGTGGATTTAAGGAGGAGATTGAACTCAAAATCTGTTGGTTAGCAAGTTTCTAAAGCTGGAGAAAAAGTCTACAGTTTATCTCTGCGGTAGTATTATTATCAGTGTTAAGGAACGCTCCCATATACAAATTGGTTTCTGTACCAAGTGGTCATAGGATTTGCTGTTGCATGCTTATTTACAGTTTACGATTTATATACAGTTGAGAAACTGCAACGTATGGCACAGTTAATATCTCTGCAGCGCTGGAAGAGAACTTGCTTCCCTTGTATCTACATCATCTCTAAAACAAACTGTATATGTGTAAGTTGTTCTTTAGCATTTTCTATAGATTCTCTTGTGAATTATTTTTAGATAGGTTTTGTGTAAATTACAAATGCAGCTAATGATTATATACTCCTCAGACTTTGTTGTAGTAGGTTTTTTCGGCAGACAACCACCGCACACCACTCATGTGATATTTAACCTGTATTATAAATCTTATTGAATATCGATTTTATGCTTAGTATCCTCTTGTTTTTATATATTTTTAGGAATTTCTAGTGAAGCTTATCTGGCCCTACTGCTTGCCCGTCTTTAGTTGTTATATTTCATTTTCATTAGGTCTTATTCATATTTAAATGTTTATATAACTCTTTCAGATCTCCTTTTCTTTTTTATTGTTCATTGCAGGTCTGCCATCCCTATCTACTATACACAAAAAATTTTAATTTCTTCATATTGTTCACTCATACCTACATTTATTTTTCACGTGTGTAATAACATTCATTATACTTTGTCAATTTTTTTGTAATCGGTTAATAAAAAAATATGTATGTTTAAATTCTAAATTAGGTGCAAATTTCCATTTTATTAGCGTGTATAATAGTTTATTATATTACTTGAATTAATAAATGAAAAGAGTTCAATATTAAATCCAACTTTTTCAGAACAACTTCGAGAACATGATGAATGATCCAGATACAGGAGCACTTATTAACAAAGCTATTTCAAGGCTAGCCCCAGAAGCATTAAAGATTTTGTGGCCTGAGTTGAAGAAGCCAATCGAATTACAACTTTTGAAGGTAAGTTCTATGACTCTCATGTACACGCATAATGGGTTTTATCGCCAATAGTAATAGTTCAATAAGGGTTGGACAGAAAATTGTTATTTTCTTCTGAAAGAGTTTCAAATGAAGAGAACGCTAGAATAACATATTTAGAATATTTTATTAGAATATTTTATTGCGTAAGATATACCGCTAATGACAGAAACTAAAGCGACGCCATCTTCATTGGCATATTTGAATGTCACTTATTGATTTAAAACACGCTAATATAGGTTACAACAAAACTTACACTTAGAGAAATTAGAGGACCACAAAAAGGGAACAAATTACCATAAACAAATTGTACTATCTGTATATTGTCCCCATGGAACGCAAGAAAGGTCTTTTTAAATATCCGTTATTTTTTAAAAGAAAATCGTTCATTTATTGCATAAACATAATATACCTAAATGATTCAAGTTATGTTTTATCTCGGTCACAGAATAATAAACAATCAGAATGCCCACTCTCAGATGCCGCCTTTGAAGTTTTTAAGCACGCGCGCCATGTTTTAGGAGGAAACACAGAACACAGACTCGGATTGAGAATCACATTTGGTGTAATGCATGTGTAATGGGTCTTTATCGACATATGATTTGTGAGATTATGTAATCGTTTATATATGTTTATATTTAAAAATGTTAAAATAATTGTATGTCTATGATTGCCGTAAGTCAGTTAAACCGGGTTAATTTTTCTATGCACACTACATAAATTTTCATTAAACAACACTGATTCCCTTTAAAACATGGCGGAACGTCTGCGCGAACGAGATGCGCGTACTTAATTTTACATGGAGAGTGGGCATTCTGATTGTTTATTATTCTGTGTCTCGGTGGTGTTTAAATTGCTAGAGCTTTAATTTTATTAGAAAATGATTATATTTCCAATGAAGTTGTCAAAGTATTTCAATTTTCCAAATGTGTAAATTGTTGCACTACTTTATAGTTAGTTATATTATTATACTTGGTAAGAAATCGTACTTGAACATCCTCCAAAGGAAAAGATATTGTAAAGGTTTTTGCTCCATATTCTAGGATAACTTTCTTACAATACATAACAGTGCTCGTCCCATATTTCCGCGGCAATCTTATCCATAGATAAAGAATATATATATCATAGATAAAGAATATATATTACCGGATCTTATCTGTCATTCTGCTTTACACTTACAGTAGGGCTCTGACAAATTTCTCAGAACTAAAACTTGGCTCCACACCTTTCGTGACCGGGCCGGACTCTGTTTAAAAAGATCACTATTTTGCCGTGTAGTTCGAAGCCAGGCGGAGGTGTGACGCTAATACTCCAGCAAATAAAAAATCAAGTGGGTCATACGCGTGATCACTTAAGTGTATCGTATCGTTTAGCTGTCCCTATGACTTTTAACAGTAAGCGTGTCAGAAGCGGGAGAATATATTGTTTATTTAACGTATGGCATACAATAGGAACACATAATAATTAAAAGCAATACGTTAAGTGGAATAAGTAATCCAGAGATGGAAACCTCAAGCAAATCGAACAAGATAAGGGCCTTAAAACCATGAACGTCAGGAAGTGGTGAAAGAAAGTATCCGACAGGATAGAATGGAAGAACGTTGTTAAGCAGGCCAAAACTCACAAAGGATTGTAGCGCCATTAAAAGAAGAAGACGTTAAGTGAAATATTACAAAATAACATCGAATATATCAATTTAATCAAACATATTTTCGGCCGCATTCAGAAATTTCATCTTGTTAGTTTTTCTTGCTGTTCTATCAATATATTATCAATTTCTGGTAAAATTTTTTTGTCTCTGTTGGCTTACTTAGTCCCTGTAGTTTTTGAAGTTCTTTGTTCATATTTTCTCTCTTCTTTCTGCGGTGGATTTTATTTTCTTCTTTACGTAGTTATTTAGACTCCTCCTCTGCTTGTCAGGTTATGTGCCTTTGTTGCATCGGTAAATATGCTTGTTTTTTCTTTATGTTATATTCTGAAGATTCTTTCGTCAAGGTCTTTCTTTGACGGGATTTTTAATTTTTTATTGACACTTGTAAAATGAAAGTATTTGCTTTATTAATTTCACTATTTCTATATTAAATAGACCTACTACAGAAATAAACTTCGAATCTTGATAATTGACTTTTGATCTGTTTACTGCGGAATGCGTAGGATCATGAAAACATATTTTATAAACTAAATCTAATATATTATTTTTATTATTATAAGAATAAATATAATACTCTATTGTTACAATGTACACATTTTCTTACGTGCCGCCAATGATCGAATTAATGATTGTCACGTGATTTCGGGTATTTTCGACCAATTAAGATGCGTCATTTTAGATAACTAATTTCACTTTTTGTTTGCTAGATTTTTGTAGAGCGTGTTGTTCTAGATGCGCTATGTGCCGCTGATAGCAGTTTTTACTGCTGGCTTTTTAGACTTTAATCTTTGCAAATATATCGTATTTTTATGCCTAGGATCATGGCCATTTTATGTCATGGATTATCGTTTATATTGGATTTTTGCCGCATAAAATGGTTTGTCTTCGGAGATATGAGGATTCCGTATAAAAAAAAACTGATTGTCATGGAAGCGAAATTCTTTTTAAAACCAATAATAGTGCGTTGCGAATTAGCTTAAGGCCAGACATCAATCCTTCGCGGCATACAGAGCTCGCCAGTGTTATTAATGCCTGTTCAGTTCTTTATATTCCGTAGCCGCGATTCCGTATTTGTCTGCGACCTCTCTGTGTCTCTTGCCTCAAGCTTTCCTACAATTTTTATTTCTTTTAACATTTTCTCTTCTTAACACTTCTACATTTCTGAGCCTATATATCCATTGTATACAGAACATTCTTTGCAGAGTCCAAATTTCTAAGGCCTCCAACTGTTAATGAAGAAAATTTTTAACCACTATGTGTCTATACCGTAAAACAATATGGACCACACGTAGCATTTAACCATCCTGTAACATATTCCTTATTAGAGTCAAAACAGCCCAAGTTAAATATTTTAAAATAACTTTAAAATAATGAATTAATTATAATACGTAATTATACTGTTCTTGGCATAAAAAACATTATTATCTATAAACCGATACACAATTATCTATTAATCACCAACATAGCGAAATAGGACAAAGCTGATATACACAGCAATTGAAAAAGCTTGAGGGACTTTTAATATAATAACGAATAGAAAAGCAAAACGAGCATTTTTTTTAACACTAGAACCGCCGCACTAATGTAATGTAATAACTCGGTTTTAGCATTTAATTGCAAGTACAATAGATGAATTTTTTAATGAACTGCCTTCTTGACGGATTTTATGCTTACACATAGTTTTTTGTTTCATTAATGAGTATAGGTAATACGATAACCTCGTATCCTTCCCTTGATCCACTAAATCCAAAACAAGAAGAAACTCAATATGAGGGCTGAATATCAATAGAACGCAATAGTGGAAATTACTTTATTAGGTAGAGTACTCTGTGAGATACGTAACTTGTTTACAGAAACAGATCATTCCGAGTTCCAACACTGAACATTGAAAAGATGACAATACCCACGTTTTTCATAATATGAGACGGAGCTGAAATCGTGCGACAATCGTAGCGCACCACGATTGGCTAGTAGCCACATTGTTTTGAACCTTTTGACTCTCGGAACTCCAAGAGATATCGTCGTCTTCTTTAATGGGAAAGATAAACCTTAGAGACATTCAGGCCTAATTCCACAGGTAGTAGCTTCACTCACCCTCTTGAGTAACTTGTAAACTAAATCTTTAAACATGATGTGGTTTTCTTTGTCGTGATGACGATTACTATAGTAGGACCAGTTATCGATAGGATAAAACTAACTGTCTTATAACTGAATCAGTAGTTAATGGTCACAATACAAAGTCAGGTCCACTTTTGCTATCACAGTGCCTTTGTTAAGGTCTGCCGCAAATACAAACGAAACCATAGTCAAAAACAATTAAGGAATATGGCCTATAAATTTCGATAATAAAGTACCTTCACATAGTTGTCGTTTCGTTCAAAATGACTTGCCGAGAGTGGCTGTTCTGTAACTGATTAGAAAGATGATTAAACACTTTAAAATAAAGTAAAATATTTGACATGTGAATATTGGGGAAGCAATCCTTAACGTATATTTTTGAGACATTTGATTAACAGCACCAACGTCATACTTTGTAAAATTGTGGAATATTACAATTTCTGTTGTTTTCTATTCAACTCAGCATCAGTGTAGGTACTCATAATTAATTTTTATTTTCTGGTTGAGAAAATTTATTGGTTTAAAAACTTGTAATTTTTTAATTTTTTAAGTAAAGCAAAGAACACATAATTTCCTTAATTCTACTTTTTGCAACAATGGACACCATTTTAATAACCATACATTTATTAAGAGGAATGCATGTTCACCATACATTCCGCGAGCATATAGATCCAATGAAGCATTCTAATTCTTCCGTTCAGCTTCAGTACATTTTATAAAACACATGAATTGCTTAAAATTATTCTCCTTTTCCATCCGGGGAAGTTGGATCTGATAGTTGCATTATTACTAATATCGTTGTCCTCTTCTGTGTTTTTTAGTTATATTTTTTCATAAAAAGTTGAAAAGTGATGTAGAAATATAGAACCTTTTTTGTTCGAATAAATAGCTCTCTGTTATTGTTAATTAAAAAAAAAACTAAAGTGCCGTGTAGAGAAAAAAAAACGGGTGTGACAGTCCAGTGGGACTACCGGTAGAAGTTATACTTCCATACACGCGTTCGGCGTTAAAAATTTATATGGGAGTCAATCTGCCCAATCATTACATATGTAATGCTATAGGTAAGAGAGAGCAGAAAGAGAAAAATAATTAGTTATATAGGTATATGGTGCATCATTTGCTGTATATAAACATTTGACCTGTAATAGGAGTATAGTAAATAAAGGATTGTATCAATATTTTAATGAAAATATATATTTTTATTTTCATATATGTATAAAAGGAGTTGAATGCAAAAAAAATTTTAGACATACTCTGCAGTAAAACTCATTGTTTATTTTGTTATCAATATAAAAATTACAATACACTGCAACATAATTCAATATAATAATACAATATAAATTAAAATGTAATATTCATAAGTATTTAAAACTGCCAATATACATAACTTACTGTACGAAGATAAAAATAAAACAACTCAGATTATGTTTTAAATTTTCATTTTATTTTTAAATTTAGCATTTTTGCGTATATTACATATTTAATAAGATGAACGTGAGGTTTTTAAATATTTTAAAAATAAAAAAGGAAATTCATAATTGGGATTCGAACTCACAAACACCAGCGTGTGAACCAAACACGTAGAGGAATTTTCCAATTAGACATGACACTAACGGATTTCAAAATTGACAGTTCTCGGTCAAACAGTGATTATTTTGAAATACAAAAGCCTAAAATAATTATAAACGTTTAATAAATAATACAAAACATATCACATAAATAATAATATTAATACATATATATATTATATATATAATATTATATATAATATTAAATATACAAAAGGAACATTTTTATTCTCGAGAGAGGAAGAGAGAGAAAATATATCTTCTATCTCTCTCTTAATCATTATTTTACATAATGTAATGGTTTCACAGATTCACTCCCATGCAAATTTCCAACGCCAACCGTGCGTATAGAAGTATAACTTCAAAAATTACCTTTCAAATGATGTGCCACTCGACCACACTTGCTATTTAAAAAAAACTGGGGGTTGATGCGGGGCAGTAGGAGGTTACATTTAAGGGCATAAATTTTACATAAAAATTCGTCCCCCTCCCAATACAAATTGACGTGGTTTCATAACTTTTGAAGAAACTCTTGGTTTCGGAGTTTCTGGGGGAGGTCAAATTTTCGTTGGGACACACTATATGTGGAAAGCTTAGGCCGAATTGGAATGCTATCGTTTACTGAAACTTATTAAAATATTTTGACGACTCTGTAGCATGTTGCATTCATAATTGGGGTTTATAACTCTTTCTCAATACTGTGAAGTGTAAAGTTTATACTTCATAAAATACGCCTTATAAACTAAAACGAAAATTTTACAAATATATGTTAAAAATACATCTAAAACAAGTCATAAAATTGCAAGAAATAATACTCTACAGATAAAAACTACAGATTGGTAACGGTTTTGTGGCTAAATAACAACCTCCGGTTATTCTAGTGTTAAAAGTGAAGATTCGCATTTTAGAAGACGTGATTCTACAGACCTTTCTTCGGGGAAGACTGAGAAAAACGAAAATAGTATATCTCATATCATAAATACCGAATGGCAATTGCTCAATACAAAATAGGAAATGAAGAAAAAAGTGTGTGACTAATGCTTCCAGTAATATACCTATTTATGTTTTATATTCTGTAATTATAATTTTATAGTCTAAAGCACTTAGTTCTACTATTAATTTTGTATGGTGACATTAATATTTACTAAAGTGTTACACGAAATTAGCTGATTGAAGTAAGCAATTTTAAACAAAGCGCAATGATAATTGAATGTAACCTTGAAGCAACTGGCAAACATGTATTCACAAAAGAAAATGGAAATTACAGCACAAACAAAAATTAGTTATTGTTTATAGTGTAATTATTCGGCTATTTCCTAAAATAAATACACGGTAATTAAAAAAATGCGTTTTGAAATACTAATGTTTGTTCCTGCAGCCTGTCACGCTGATTATCAGGGCCGGCTACAGGCGGTAAACAAGTGAGACAGCCGGCCCATGGCGCAAAATTATCAATTAATATACTTGTTTGGTCAATATATTTTGGTCAAAGTAGTCAATATATTTTGGTTAAAACGTTTCGATAAGATGGAGATATATTTATGGCTGTTTGAAACTACATATTTTTCATGGAAATACCACAGAGCAGTAGGTACCTTACTCTATCTACAATAAAAAGGTGGCCTAATACTAAGAATTTAAGATCAAAAAGACCTTTGACAGCACTGGAATACTTTTTTAAGATAGAACGGCACGCCTACATGTGCAAAGTAAAAAGAATCAGTGTCTTCTTTTGCGCTTGAAAATCTTTTCCTATTTCATTTAAGTAACCTCTATGGGGAGGTAGTTTTCCGCAGAATTTTTGTGTTTGAATTTCCTTTCAAAAGTTTTGAAATCTTAAGTTTTGTTCTATCTATAAGCCTAAGTTTTTGACAGTTGTCATAAATTCTATCGAATAATTATAAATGGTAATCATATGAGCAAAATTTCTCAGAAATATTTTTCTTTATGTCACTGGACCAAAAACCATGCCTACAGATTTATTGTTATTATTACAAAGACAATGGTTAGAAGAAAATTGAGAAACTCTTTCTAAATCATAATTAATTGCTGCCACTGCCTGTTTAAACTCATCAGGCTTAAAGGATACGTAGATCTGAGTGTCATCAGCAAAATAGTGATTACAGGAGAGAAAATTAGCAGAAAAGTTTGAAGTATATATACTAAATAATTTGGGACCCAATATAGAGCCCTGTGCTACCTCTTTGTTTGTTTTAAGACAGTTCAATGTCTTACCATTGTAATGAATAACTTGACTTCTATTATTAAGATAACTGAATAGCATATCAGATGCCTGCTTAGACATACCAATATACATAAACATTAAAATCAACAGAGAATGGTCAAGCATAAAAAAGCTTTGGAATGATCCAAAAGAATCTCTGTAATTAAGCCATTATCGCAACCACCAAATATGTCAGTTATTTTTAAAAGGGCACCACTACAGCTGTGATCCTTTTTGAAAGCGGACTGATTTTCTGGCAGAATTTTATGTTTATCTAAGTGAACCTGTAGTTGCTGATTTAAAATTTTCTCTAGGATTTTTGAAAATGTTGGTAGTATACTAATTATTAGCCGTATTTCATTAAAACCTGTCGGATTATTAGTTTTCGGTAACGGTACAATTTTAGCAACTTTCCACATCGATGAAAACTCTGCTCTTATAATGCAAACATTGATAATATGTGTCAAGTACGATAATAAAAACGGAAGGCACATATTAATTGTTAGTATATTTATTTTGTCGCATCCGGTAGCAATACTCTTGATACCTTTAATGGCATTTAAAATGTCACTTTCTTGGACACAACTGAAATTTGCACCTATGTCCACACGAAAAGTATTATTATAAAAGTTGTTAACTGTTAAATCAGGATTCATATTAGAAATACAATTTATAAAGTATTTATTCCAGAAGTATCATTTAACTTTCCTGATAGTTGTGTATTATTTTCGTATCTCTACCAAGACCTATCATTTTTAAGGAATCCCAAAGATTTTTCCCGTTTTTATTATCCAATTTGTTTGTATAGAAGGCTTTTTTTCTTCTGGCGGCTAAAGTAAACATATTTCTATCGTTTTGTATTCCTTCCAAGTTTGCATGTTTTTGTATTTTTTGTACGTACTCAGTACTTTGTCTCTTTACTTAGTCCCTGTAGTTTTTGAAGTTCTTTGTTCATATTTTCTCTCTTCTTTCTGCGGTGGATTTTATTTTCTTCTTTACGTAGTTATTTAGACTCCTCCTCTGCTTGTCAGGTTATGTGCCTTTGTTGCATCGGTAAATATGCTTGTTTTTTCTTTATGTTATATTCTGAAGATTCTTTCGTCAAGGTCTTTCTTTGACGGGATTTTTAATTTTTTATTGACACTTGTAAAATGAAAGTATTTGCTTTATTAATTTCACTATTTCTATATTAAATAGACCTACTACAGAAATAAACTTCGAATCTTGATAATTGACTTTTGATCTGTTTACTGCGGAATGCGTAGGATCAATTGAGGGGAGGATTGTATTTGTAACAATACCATTCATGAAAACATATTTTATAAACTAAATCTAATATATTATTTTTATTATTATAAGAATAAATATAATACTCTATTGTTACAATGTACACATTTTCTTACGTGCCGCCAATGATCGAATTAATGATTGTCACGTGATTTCGGGTATTTTCGACCAATTAAGATGCGTCATTTTAGATAACTAATTTCACTTTTTGTTTGCTAGATTTTTGTAGAGCGTGTTGTTCTAGATGCGCTATGTGCCGCTGATAGCAGTTTTTACTGCTGGCTTTTTAGACTTTAATCTTTGCAAATATATCGTATTTTTATGCCTAGGATCATGGCCATTTTATGTCATGGATTATCGTTTATATTGGATTGTTGCCGCATAAAATGGTTTGTCTTCGGAGATATGAGGATTCCGTATAAAAAAAACTGATTGTCATGGAAGCGAAATTCTTTTTAAAACCAATAGTGCTTTGCGAATTAGCTTAAGGCCAGAGTATTAGTATAAGGCCAGATAGTATAAATTCTATCGAATAATTATAAATGGTAATCATATGAGCAAAATTTCTCAGAAATATTTTTCTTTATGTCACTGGACCAAAAACCATGCCTACAGATTTATTGTTATTATTACAAAGACAATGGTTAGAACAAAAATTGAGAAACTCTTTCTAAATCATAATTAATTGCTGCCACTGCCTCTTTAAACTCATCAGGCTTAAAGGATACGTAGATCTGAGTGTCATCAGCAAAATAATGCTGATTACAGGAGAGAAAATTAGCAGAAAAGTTTGAAGTATATATACTAAATAATTTGGGACCCAATATAGAGCCCTGTGCTACCTCTTTGTTTGTTTTAAGACAGTTCAATGTCTTACCATTGTAATGAATAACTTGACTTATATTATTAAGATAACTGAATAGCATATCAGATGCCTGCTTAGACATACCAATATACATAACCATTAAAATCAACAGAGAATGGTCAAGCATAAAAAAGCTTTGGAATGATCCAAAAGAATCTCTGTAATTAAGCCATTATCGCAACCACCAAATATGTCAGTTATTTTTAAAAGGGCACCACTACAGCTGTGATCCTTTTTGAAAGCGGACTGATTTTCTGGCAGAATTTTATGTTTATCTAAGTGAACCTGTAGTTGCTGATTTAAAATTTTCTCTAGGATTTTTGAAAATGTTGGTAGTATACTAATTATTAGCCGTATTTTATTAAAACCTGTCGGATTATTAGTTTTCGGAAACGGTACAATTTTAGCAACTTTCCACATCGATGAAAACTCTGCTCTTATAATGCAAACATTGATAATATGTGTCAAGTACGATAATAAAAACGGAAGGCACATATTAATTGTTAGTATATTTATTTTGTCGCATCCGGTAGCAATACTCTTGATACCTTTAATGGCATTTAAAATGTCACTTTCTTGGACACAACTGAAATTTGCACCTATGTCCACACGAAAAGTATTATTATAAAAGTTGTTAACTGTTAAATCAGGATTCATATTAGGAATACAATTTATAAAGTATTTATTCCAGAAGTATCATTTAACTTTCCTGATAGTTGTGTAGTATTTTCGTATCTCTACCAAGACCTATCATTTTTAAGGAATCCCAAAGATTTTTCCCGTTTTTATTATCCAATTTGTTTGTATAGAAGGCTTTTTTCTCTTCTGGCGGCTAAAGTAAACATATTTCTATCGTTTTGTATTCCTTCCAAGTTTGCATGTTTTTGTATTTTTTGTACGTACTCAGTACTTTGTCTCTTTCTCTTTTCATAATACGTAAAGTATCAGTCATCCATATTGCATAATTTTTTGAAATTTTATAAGTTACGTAGGGTGCATGACGATCCAGTAAGCATATTAAATTATTAAGTAAGAAATTCAACTTTATCATCAATACTCTCCATATCAAAAATATTCCGCCAAGGTAGAGACTGTAATTCTTCATAAAATATGGTATGGTTTATTGCCGTGAAGTTTGTGACAGTTTTATAATTAACTTCTTTCTTTTTAGTTTATATGTTTATTTTGTGTTTTATTTCGTTGATGGTGGATATTATAAAAATAACTATTCTGGAGAACTTTATTTTCTTTTTTTTTAAACATATAACTTACATTACGGGCTCTAACTAGCGGCCATCATTGTTCTCTGTCAGTTGTCAGCTTAAGCTGTCTACACACTAAAGTTCATGATCTTAAGCTGCATACAGACTAACACAAACAGTAATGTCTAAAATACAACTTAGATTCTACTCTAAACATAAAAGTTAATTCTTAAATATACAACACGCTTTTTTGCAACAAAAACATTAATACAAGAAAAAGTCCTTAAGATAATTTGGTTTTTTAATTTTACGTCTGTCGGAAGGGTATTCGTTTATTTCACTATTTTTATCAATTTCTGAGTCACTCTCAAACACCAGCTCTATGTTACTCTCAGTTACTTGATGTATGTTACCTGAGATGGACGGCTGTTCCTCATTATTACCAACAGGATTGTCACAGCAATTAGCATTATCTTTGGAGTCCTCATTCTGTGCTGTTTCAGTTGAGGTATTTTGTTTTTCTATGACTGTGTTTTCTAATTCATCAGCAGATTCCATCTCAGATGACATATTTACAGTCTCATTATTTTCAACATGGCACATCAAACTAGAACTAGGAGCATCATCATATAATAAATTTGAAAAATAAGACTCAGAAACTGATAAAAATATCAACAACTCACGGTCAATGAAATCAACATATTCCTCGGTAATATCACGAATCGAACTTCGTTTAGAGGTTAACATATAATCAATAAGGGTTGCAGTATTAGATGTGATTCTAGTCGGTTGATTTATGACTTGATGTAGCTCCATTGTTTCAAAAAATCAGAGACAATCTCAGTATCAGGGCAATGAGTATTTAATAAATTAACATTAAAGTCACCAGCACAACAAACTCGTCAACAAAATGTTTGACATGTGAAATTTGGTACATCGATTTTAATGAAATTTGAAGGACTGTTTTACTACGTTATAAAGATTTTCTAGGCGAATTATGAAGGTCCTAAGTTAAATGTAAATGGTTGAAAAACATTGAATAAGAAAAGGCTTCTTTCCCATTCTGTTTTTGTATTTATTGTGATATAATGTGATTTTATGTTAAAAAAATAAAAAAATATTCGTTTCATTACAAAAACGAAATATATGCACTAATAACGCTTCATTTTATGAACAATATATAATTTACATAAAATCCCAACTTTTATCATAACACCTAGTAAGATATTAAGTTCAGTTTTACAAAGGGAAATATTTCCCTACAGAATTATTTTCAGACAAGCTTTTAGTATTTCATTTCTTTTGTTTTCTAATTATTCGTTATTCGGATAAAACCCAGACAAAATGCATTGTTTAAACAAGTAATTACTTAGTTAATTTCAAGAACGCTACATTTACAACATTTGTTTAAAACCTATTGTTATTTTTTCACCTCAGTTCTTAAAATAATTTGTGTATTTATTTTTCAGTATATCAACAACATCCTGGATAACGCATCAGTCGTCAACATTGCCAAGAGGATATTTAACATTGTATAAAATTTAATTTAAAGAGAGTCATAGATACATTTTAGCACAAATTAGAAATAATGAAATATTAGGATGACTTCCTAAAAACTAAAACCGGTTTAGGTAATCCTTTTCTGCTAGTGCAAATAATTATAGAAACACAACTTTTATTTTATGGTGAATAAGAGGCATGCTAAAACCTTATGAATTTTAAAGCTGGTTGAAACAATTACTTTTTATGAGTCACTTCCATGTTATGGTCAGTTTATAGAATAACTTTTAAAAGCGGTTCCATTAATGTCCACTTTGTATTGTTAATATGGTTCTGAAACTTAACATGAATCAACAAAAATTTTAAGTAAAAAATACGTTATACCTCACGTTTTGATTTTCACATCGGAAATATTATCAAAATATAAATTAAACAAAATGTTTTTTTGTTTCTTGCAAATACAAAAAAATCTTCAATATAATAGCAACTGCCTAATTCATAATAACAACTTTAACCTATATTATACATTTTACCGTATAGATAATTTTAAAATATTGTCAATAATTTAGGGTGCGATCCTGGTACGACTTTATTGAAGGATAATTAATTTGATTAATGAAATCAACATTTACTTTAGACTACCGATCAGAAAAAATAATTACAGCATATGATTGGTATTAAAAAAAAATATGATATTTACAGTGAAATTCTTCTGTTAATAATCTTATTTTAAATCATGAGGCTCATATCATTTATATGATATGAGTATATTTAAATAATAGTAGCCCGACTTGGCAAGTATTCGGCCTTGCATTTAATTTACTTTTAATATTAACATCAAATCCCAATTTTATATGTATATTATTTTAATTCGTAATGTATGTACCAGTACCATTATCATAGATGTACATGTGATCACAGCGACATCTAATTTAGGTAAAAAAAATATTACTGTTTGTCGCTCCGCTCATACTAGGAACTATTTCTACAAGGAACTATTCTACAAGGAACTTTGTAGAATAGGCAAAATTAAACAAACAACATTAAACAAGATCCTATATTATTTACAAGACAAAATTTAGAAGAGTATTCAGAAAAATGTAAAAGGATAGGAAATAAATTACCTAAATATTTAAAACAACAAAAACATTGAAACATATTTTATTTAAAATCAAACCTATTAACGAACCTATCAAGGCAAAAATAAAGGATTTTGTTTAAAAAACCTTATGAACACTTTTATCAAATGACACTTTAAGATCATTCATCAATTCAATAAAACCATTTATCTAGTCATGAAGAAAACACACGGTAAAAAGACAAAAGTTAAAGAAACCGGTCTTATTTTGCTAAAATAAATAAACTGAGCTGAAAAAGCCTAGATGGGATGCAGTAGAATTTGGTTACCAATATTAAAAGAAGAAGACACTAAAAATAAAATAGTAGCATTTAAAATAATTTACTGTGTAAAATATTACAGAATTTGATATTAATATTGAGAGTATTAAATGTAACATCAAATACGAGTTTTATGTTCAATAAAAACCAATTTGTTGATGAGAAGGTGAAAATCGAAATGTCAAATAGACTACATCATTCCTCTGCCACAACCCAAGTCACCTCTTAATAAAAGGAGCATCAACAAAACAAAAGTTTTCTCATATTATACTATATATGAGCAATAAACTATACTTGACATAGAAAGAAGCAGTACTTTTCATTATAAATCTTCTTCTATTTGCAGTGCCCTATCCCTACTGGACGTTTGCAATCTCTCTAGTTCACAGCTACTTCTTAGCCTTCTTAAATGTAGTTTTTGATCTAATCTTTGATCTTTTGATCTATTGATTATATTGGTAAATATAATTCTGACACAATTAACAACAATAATTAATAAAATTATAAAACAAAATTAAATACTGGATGAAGGGAGAACGAACTAATTCGACTATTCAAAAAAGGAGATAAAAAAAAACAGCCATAAAACTACAGAGGTATAAACTTTTACTTATAAAATTAAACATCACGCTAAAACTTACAACTAAAATTTTACAAGTGCTAATAAATCAAATATAAGTTTAGCAGATGAAAATTTTTTTCGTAGTGGAATATCATGTACACATGCAATATTCGTTATAAAGCAAATTACTGAGAAATCACTAGAGTATAATAGACCAGCACTTCTGTGTCTGATTAACCTGAACAAAGCGTTTGACAGAGTAAGACTTAAATATGTAATCAATCTTCTCTATAATAGAGTAGTTTCCCTAAATATTATAAAAACTATCGAAAACATCTACCAAAACAACAAAATGGATGTCAGAATAGATAGACAACTTACAGAACCTATAGAAATCATCATCATCATCCAGCCTCAAGAGTCCACTGCTGAACATAGGCCTCTTCCTCGTTTTTCCAACCCCGTCTATCTTGCGCCGCTCTTATCCAGTTTATATTGAGTCTTCTCAAATCGTCAGTCCATCTTGTAGGTGGTCGACCGACGCTTCTCTTGTCTTCCCTTGGCCTCCATTCCAATAACCTCTTTGTCCATCACCCATCAGAACCTATAGAAATAGGCAGCGGAAAGTCAGGGGGACTCATTCATCCCCATGCTCTTCAATTTGATCATGGATAAAATCATTAAAACCGTTAACAAAGGAAGAGGATACAGAATGGTAAACAAGGAAATAAAAATTCTCTGTTACGCAGACGACGCAATCCCAAGATGAAGTTTTTATCGAATGGATTTAGTGTCCGCAGTCATTTAAACACAAACAAACAACAACAATAGTCTGCAAAGACTGGTCCACAGATTTAACATATGAGCAAAATTTAATATCACAATCTGATTTTAGAAAATTAAAACAATAGTCAGCAAAGAACCAACCAGAAATTGATGGCATCAGTCTTGAACAAGTAATGGAAATAAAATATCTGGGAATTACACTGTCTAGCTATGGAGACCTGGGCAAAGAAGTGAGAGATCAAGTACAAAAAGCAAATAGACTGGCAGGATGCCATAATAACACTATATGGCGAAACAGGATGAAATCAAGCATTTATAAAGCCAGCTAAAGACCAATAATGACATATGCCTCAGAAACAAAACCCGACACAGCCACAATGCAAAGGCTACTAGAAACAGCAGGGATGAGAGTACTGAGAAGAATTACAGGAGATTCGCTGAGCGATCGAAAGAGAAGTGAAGACATTAGAAAAAAATATTACGTACAGTGTCTAAATGAATGGACACAAAATAGAAAAAAAAATGGAATAACCAATAAGCAGAATAGAGGAGACCCGTGTCGTCAAAATAGCAAGAGATAAGTCACCATTCGTCAGAAGAAGTATCGGACGACCGCGCAAAATATGTAGTGAAAACCTTCCATATAGGTATTAATCTGCCAATGAACAAGCAGAATTGCTCATAAAGAGAAAGAAGAAGAAGATAATTATGGGTTTCTGGATTCTAATATGGATTTCACGCGAGTGATCCCAATTTTCGCTCTATTTGAAACCCAGATATCTGAAATTCTTTGCTAGTATCCGATTAATGGTTAAATGATTTTTGCTGATGGCCATTACCTTGGTTTTGCGGATTTTAAGACACATACCATACCGTCTGCGAATACCGTCTACTCTATCAATTAATCGTTGAAGTCCTTCTAGATTGTCGGCAAGTAAAACGGTGTCGTTAGCATACCTGAAATTATTAATGGAAATCCCGTTAATTGATATTCCACCTTCAATATGCTCCAAAGTTTCTCTAAAGAGATGTCGAAGTAAATATTGAATAACATCGACGATGCAACACATTCCTGACGAACTTCTCGTAGAGTATACTAAATTACTCCGGGTACTTGTTTTCCACTTTTACTTTACCAATTTTTTTATAAGTAGACTATGCTTCTAAGATCATGCTTTTCTATATCCATTGTTTTTACGAGATCTATCGAGTTTTTCATGGTTTGCTCTGCTGGTTTACTCTGTCAAATATATTTTCAAGTTCCAAGAAGCAATCAAAAACATTACTGGTCACATCCCTAGTTCTTTGAATCAGCACCTGTAGACTACTTCTAAAGCCAAACTGAATTGTCAAGAAGCCGTTGTTGATAATATACTTAGAAATAGCTTTAAGTTATTTTATTATGAATACCACATATATATTATGTAAAGACATGTGTAATAGTACCAATAAGAACCAAGAGAACGTTGTATCACTTAAAAAGTGATTTTCTATAGACAGGTACATTGTTATCGGAGTTTATATTGAAACAAAGAACTCCAGCACACAGCAAACAATTTTGTATCAAGACAATTTATATCCAGACGCTTTGTTGCGTGTATGTACGCGATATATATAGAATGTCTGAATTCTCCTGAAAGATTTTAACAATTCTCTCGTTTTTATCCAAAAACGTTTCCGTATTTGTCTCTCTCTTTGTGGTGGTATTTAGATAATCGTCAGAGTTTGTATGCAGATATAGAAAATCCCTTAGTGTCAATACCGCTAAAAAAACTTCATTCAGAATAAGCCAAAGAAATAGATATTAGATATAATTGGAACTCGATAGATGATTATATAATACTAGGTACAGACCAAAAGAAGAGACAAGGAGAGGTTTACGTCCAAAAATTGATAGTATAAGGCAGGATAAATAGAGAGTAACAATACTAGATATCATTAAATAAAGCTAATATCCGTAGCTTTAAATAAAGAAAATACTCATTGCTATATTAGTAAGCAATAGTGTAGTACAATAGTAATATCTACTGTAGTAATAATTGTAATGTAAAATCATAAAAGACTGGGCATATGTTATAATCATAAAGCCATCAATATATCATTCTTTATATTACCATTAACAGTAATATATCCCTGTAGCTGAAGAAGGCTGGTGATCTTCATGATTACTTGAATTCTGTTCACTGCTGCTGTAAAAATCTCGTTAGACGAGCAATTAACTGTTGGTACAGTAGAGTACAGTAGTTGGTACAGTAAAACTATTATATAAACCTCGATTATGAACTATACAGG